TTCAATATATACAGTCCATCACACAGATGACCACCTTGCAAAAAAGCAGAAGAGTCCAATGTGTAAGACCAATTGGACTTGTCTTCCATAGTGATTGTATAGACACATGTACTTACATCTTCCCTAAGCAGATGTGCAGCACTGTGACTATAACTTGGTAATATTTTAAATCATCTTAGCATCTGCTTTTTATGTGACCATGTAAATCCTCTATTGACACTTCAGGAGGTGAAAAACTCTTCAATGCATCTGCCTCCATGGGAGCTTAAGAACTAAGTCTGTTCCAATGCTCGACAACCCTTTCAGTGAAGAAATTTTTCCTAATATCCTATCTGAACCTCCCCTGGCCCATCGATCCAGCCTGTCCAGATCCCTCTGTAGAGCCTTCCTACCCTCAAGCAGATCAACACTCCCACCCAACTTGGTGTCATCTGCAAATGTACTGAGGGTGCACTCGATCCCCTCATCCAGATCACTGATAAAGATATTAAACAGAACTGGCCCAAATACTGAGCCCTGGGGAACACCACCTGTGACCAGCTGCCACCTGGATATACCTCCATTCACCACCACTCTTTGGGCCCAACCATCCAGCCAAGTTTTTACCCAGCAAAGGGTACACCCATCTAAGCCTTGAGCAGCCAGTTTCACCAGGACAATGGCGTAGAAAACAGTGTCAATGGCTTTACTGAATTCTAGGCAAACAACATCCACAGCCTTCCCCTCATCCACTAAGCAAGTCACCTTGTCTTGGTAGGAGATCAGGTTAGTCAAGCAGGACCTGACTTTCATAAACCTATGCTGACTGGGCCTGATCACCTGGTTGTCCTGTACATGCTGTTTCATGACACTCAAGATGATCTGCTCCATTACTTTCCCCAGCACTGAGATCCTGCCAATGAGTCTGTAGTTTCCTGGATCCTCCTTCTGGTCCTTCTTGTAGATTGGTGTCACATTTGCTAACTTCCAGTCAACTGAGACCTCCCCAGTTAGCCAAGACTGATGGTAAATGATTGAAAGTGGCTTGGTGAGCTCTCCTGCCAGCTCCCTCAGTACCCTGGGGCAGATCCCATCTGGCCCCATAGACTTGTGTATGTATAAGTGGTGTAGCAGGTCGCTAAACATTTCCCCTTGGACTATGGGGGCTTCATTCTGCTCCCTGTCTTCTAGCTCAGGAGTCTGGCTACCTGGAATTATATGACAACATAACAGGAAGGAAAAACATCAATGATCAAAATAAGTAGTGGCCTTTTTTTTTTTTGGTATATGATGCAAATAGCACATATATCAGTTGCCCAAACTGCTCTTGCCTCATCTCATCTCTCTCATCCTCCCGCATCCTACATGCAGTCCACAGATCACCTGTCGAGTTCCTTAACTTTCATCTCATGTACGCTTCCATAGATTATTTGCTGTAGCCCCAAAGCCTCCACTCTGTGTGGCTCTCCTACTCCCCTTTCCCCAGTCCTGTGTGCATAACAGCACAACTCTTCTGTTTCTAGCTCCAAACACACCCCCAGTTCCTACTTCCGCCATGTTCACGGCTGCCAGGCATGCTATTCCATCTTCTCAGACACGTCAATGCTGGGGTATTTAAGGAGCTCATAAATTTCATTCACCACTGGCATATAATTTTGCTGGAGTTGTGACTACTTCACCATTGACTTCATAGATTCCTTCCATGCCTATGTACCTACAACAGAGTAAGAAAAAAAAGAGAACAGACTGACTGAATACAGTGATTCTAGTTAAACAATCACTTCATAGAATTCTTTTCATCATGCTCCATCTTTTCATGACTGGTTGGGGATTTTTCTTTTTTTTTGTCTTCACCATTTCTCATAGTAAATTTATTCTAAACTCTCATTCTCCTCATGGCTTGAAACTTTCTGCACCAGTTTATTCATTGCTAGCTGATAACAGTGGTTTGGGGCAAGCATTGCCCTTTACCTTAAGGAGTAAACACCTTAACTTAAAGGTATTTGAAGAGAATATTTGTCTCCTCTCTCAATATTCACTTTTCTAGACTAATTACATGAATATTTTTGAGGATACATTTAGTGCCTTGCAGACATCCATGTTTCTACTAGTATCTAATCCAACTGGAAGGAGTGTAATCAAGACAGCACAGTTTTGTGTCCAAAGAAACAAGTTCCCCCAACCCCATGGTTACACAGCTTAGGTGCTGGGGCTTGATCTGCAAGCCTGTGGTCTGCTTAAACCACAGGGAGATAGAGCAAAAGAGCACTGTAGTATAACCCTCTCTTTACTCACAGAAACTTTATTAACCTGATAATCTTAGTAGTTGCCTTACCTGCTCAAATCAAACTCCACCTTTCCTGAACATATAACCACAGTGTACATAGCACTTAAGATTCAGTCTCACCTATTCTTCCCCAGTCTCTATCAGAGATATGTTCTAGGCTGTATTTTTCATTATGCAAACACACTTGCAGTTTCTAGTCATCTGGGATTATCTAGGTCTTCCTCTACACATTTCATTTTCAACTAGTGAGCTCAAATAGATTCTTTTTATTCCCTACATACATGTCTTTTGCTATTAAATTCCATCCCATCTCTATTACATTCTGCATTCTGTTTGGTTTTGTTTTTTAATACTTTATGCCTTCACGCTTTATATCATTAATATTTTTCTATCTATTAACCAATTATCATCAATCAAAAAATTACATTAGAATCAGTCCTAGGGTATTTCTTAAATAACTTTGCCAGTTACTTTCTTCCAGAATGACAGTACTGTTAATATAATATTATCTTTCCTTCAGCCAGGTCATTACACACCTTAAATTCTTGTATGAATCTCCATCTTTTCTAGCTGAACTAGTAATTTCTAATTTGAACCAGTGAATCTTCCAGTTCTGTCCAACAAGTTAAAAACTTTAAGATGCTAAGGAAAAATTTGATTATGAGTAGCAATTAAAATGAGAACCAGGACTTGTAAATTATGTATAAATATTTTATTATATATAAAAGACAACGTACATGGATAGATGCTCTAATAAAACAAATCCCAGGCTTTGTTTTCATAAAAAGATTCAAATGCTTTAAAGAGCATTTTAGAATTCCTCTTCCCTCTTCTACGGTGATATATTACATAGGGGCTGATATCAAGCAGAAAATGTACCACAACACAGCAATGGCTGCTGTTTCTAATGATGCTATGGCAATGCAAAAGGAGGGCACCATACAGAATCCAAATTTGGATTCAAGGCTTCTTTGGTCCCTAAGTCAACAAAACCAGGCAGTCATGGAGTCAAGTACTCAGTCCGCAGACTATTAAACAGACCTTTGCAAAATATCCTCCTTTGGGATGTAAGCTGGTTCTGGCAAATACAACTCTCTTCATTCTACTTAAGGTGGGGACAATCAGAAATAACAACGGGAATGAAAAAAAAAGAGAATAATGTGAAGGCCTGGAAAACAGCATCAAAAGGCAAGCTCATCCAAGGAAAAAACCCTCCACAGGTGACCTGTTTTTCTTATAGTACATATATATGCTCAATACAGGATTAACATTTTAAATTCATCATGTAAACATTTAATCTTCTCACAGATCAGATCAATTTTGTTTAGTATTGTTATTTTATATACAAGATCCATACAAAGGACATTTTTTCTTCCCAAAACCTTGAAAAGGCACTACAAAAAGTAACCAAAATACTACAATAATGTGACAGTAGTAGTTAGCTATATGGAATGTCATGTACACCATTAAAACTATAGTGTGTTATTTCATTTAATCAACCTGTCTTTGACCTTTTATAGCTAGATGAGCAAAGAAAAATATTGTCATTTTAAAAACTAAGTTGCACAACTTTTTTATAATTCTGCATATGTCTGAAAAGTTTATAATTTTCAGTATGTAAACTACCTCACAAACAACAGTCAGAGCCTGACATGTAAACAGTTAACTATACATAATTACATAGTTAATTTCACATTAGGATATGTAGGTTTGAGAATTGTTGAAGGTAAAACATGGTCCCAAGGTATAAGATTTCTCTCAGAAATGAGAACGTGAGATTAGTGCAGTGATACTAAAGTTATCTAAAGATCAAAGTCTCATGCAAGAGAGACTTTTCTGTTAGTTGTCATAGGAAAAATAAAATAATAATTAAAAAAAACCTTTCAGGTGTCCACTCTTTAATAGGACACTAGATAGTAAAAAAATCTCCAAATACTTCAGTAGTCACTTTTCCATCCTGCAGAAGGCAACCGTGCACTTGCCTATGGTTTCAGCATGTTACAATGATAAAAACGTAACACCTACTTCATTTTTATTATTTACAATTGGTTTTGGCATAATATTATCTAGAACAGTGAAAGTGGCTTGTGCTATTCCACTCAGCTTATGTTTTTGTGATGAGGACAATGTCTGGGTTCATAACTCTACAATGTGACATTTAAGCTCTTATTTTTAAGATTTTTAGTTTGTTTGTTTGTTTGTTTAATTATATAGAAACATTTTATGGGGATTATGTTTGGATAAATTTTTAATTGTTCTGTATTTCGAGTCTAAACAAGGTGACATAAATTGTATTTTTTCTATCTTTACTTTTCATGTTACTGTATTATTTTTTTAATATACGCAGAGTAAATATTTTTACAGATGAGAAAAATTATATCACTTTCAATGTTAGGTGGAAACATTCAAAAAACACTGGAGGACAAGAAACAAGAAAACACAAACACATAAATGCAGCTAATATTCACATACTATATAGTAATACTCTTGCTCTCAAATAGAATCAATGAGTAGTTGACTTTTATGATAAAGCAGTGTAACAGAACCACTGAATGATACCGACATGACTGAATTTGATTTTGGTTTTTTTTTACTAATCTTTCTAGGTAAAAGCAGGCTCCCTATGCAAGAAGGAATTTTTTCAGTATGTGTTTTCATATATGTAATTACCTATTATAGGAGAGGTAATTTCTCTTGTGTACTGATAGAACTAATGCAGAACATGACACTTGATCATTTTGCCAAATACCTACAAACCAGAGAACAAGCATGATTAAACATCCATAAGATGCAAGTCTGTTCCCGTGAAAATCACACAAGTATTTCCAAAACATTTGAGTCTCACTTTCTGTCAGAAAATCTCACATTGATGGAATTTCCAGGAGTCAAAAGTCCGTGGGTTTTGGCATGAACTGGTTCAGTTTTGGGAGAAATTTTGATCTCAAAATTCTGAAGCAACTGTGAATATAAACAGGACAAGTATTAGAAAAGCTGCAAAATTACAGGTGAAAATTAGAATTTGGAAAAGAGAACACAACAGACTGTCACAAACAAAATTTCTGTTGCCAGTTCTGTGGAGTCTAAGTGCCATGATTCCCACACAGGAAATTAAAAATAGTTGTTACAAGGTGAAGTTTATAGATAAAAATCTTCCTCCTCTAACTGAGGGAGGACTGATCCAGTCCTTTCTGAAGAATTTCTATACAACTAGATTAAACAGTCTGAGCTATCAAAGAAACTCAGGTCTCTTTCAAACCTCGTGAGCTTCACCTCTATGTGGTTTTGATTTTACCTCCTTTAATATAAATCAATATGTGCAATTACAAAACAAAGCAATAAGAGAGTCCCAATCCCATCGCACACATTTATCTTCCTGGGCAAAAGGAAACAAAACAAACATGAGACAGCAACCGTCCAGTGGACCAAGTGAAACAATCATAATTTAAGGAGTCAAATATCAGAATCTCTCCTGAAAAAAATCACTACAATTCAATCACACAGGTTCTCTATACATTAAACCTCTATTTCTATACATGGGAAATACCACAACATCCTCAACTTTTCCTAATATTAAATCTCAAACACTTATCCTATAAACTAAGCAATCTTCTCTTATCCTTCTCCTAGTAGAGCATGATGAATAATGCATTATTTTCCTATACATAACTACCTTTTCAGTGTTAGATGGTTGATCAAATTTTCATCTCGTTCTCGTAAGATTCTTCCATAAATTGTGTGTTATTATGTTCTAGTTTCTTTCCAGAAAACAAAAGCAGGCTATTATTTCCTTGAGCCTCCTTTTCAAAAAGATTCAAGTATGTTTGTTTTATTCAGCCCCCTGAGACCTACCTCACTCTGAATTCTGAGAGACAGATGCTAATTGTTCAGCGATTTCTCTAGGAGTTTACTTAAGGAAGTTCTAAGGCAAATTCAATCAAGCTTTGCTTTGAGCACATAAAATAGGTCTAAATATATTTATAGTTAAGTAATTAAAAATAGCTTCCAAATCTTTGAATTTTTATTGCACAATTTAATCTCAGGATTTGAGTTAAAGGGTGTCTTGTAAACAACAAAAAATGCAGTGATTGTGGGGAAAGCTTTCTTTATGATATGAAGCAACAGAAAACCATACATATCAATATGCATTAACTACTTTAGGTTGTATATCTAAAACGATAATAAAGTTAAAAGAAAGAACAAGGGACAGAAAACCACAGAACATAGGAAAATTCTATTATTTGTTGTAACGCTCTGGTCAGTACAAGGATATAAAAACTATTTTATGTCTCTCTAAGTACTGAATTCTTCATAACTACAATACTGAAACTAAGCAAGTAACCATTCTAACATAATTTAAGAAAGATTTCCAGTGGTTACAAAAACCTTCTGTACTAAATGCAAATACTTGCTTAACAATCTTACCTTTAGTTTTATTTCATTTGTATTAGAAAGACTTTTTCTTTTGCAATGTAGTTTACTAGTATGCTACATTTCAAGTATGATTATTTTCAATATTTTAAGACTTTGCAGGATGAGTATGCTAGACAACACTCCAAAACAAAGTTTTTGAGCACTGTAAGATATCCAGAAATGGTATACATAGAAAAGAATCATACCAATATATTTTTCTTCTTGTAATGTTGTCACATAGTTCTAACCTGAATCAGTGCAAGATGAATTTCCAGCTCTGCAATTCTTTTTCCTATACAACTTCGAATGCCATAACCAAAGGGGATGGAACCAAAATTGTCTACTCTGTCCAAATTATCTTTCCTCAGCCAGCGCTCAGGTCGGAACTCATTTGCCATTGAAAAATTTTCTTCACTGTATGAAGTAGTATAATGACAGAGTGCCAGCTGCGTCTGAGGAAATAAATTATATTTATATTTAACTAACTCCAAACCACATAACAAAATAAAAAAGCATTTGTAATTACTCTAATTTCTGCAATACGAGGTGATAAAAATTAAGTATCAGTAAGAGTAATTCTGGAAGAAAAAAGGACATCTAGAAAATCAGACTCCTTTCTCAACTGGTTAAATGAAGTAATCTTCAAACTGTTTTAAATGTTGCTCAATATATTAGAGAAGATGCAGTGGGGAAGTAGATGGAAACAGAAGTCACAACTATTGGGTATTATCTCAAAAAGATAGTATGAGAGAAAGGGAGAAGAGAGATACAAGTCAATGGAAAATGAAAAAATGGAGGATGGGAAAGAAAAAAAACCCACACCACCTCAGGAAAAATAAAACATCTGTAATTAATGTGATGATGTTTCCAAATAAATGCTGAGGGAGAGATGTGTGTGGAGTAATATTTAAATAAGTATATTAACAATTAATCATCCTGACTGTCTTAAAGCTACATTGCTCTAACACATAAGTGCTGTGATTTAAAATAGAACCACACAGTTCTACCATGATCTCTGTATAATCTTTGAATAGTATAAAAGAAAGATTCATAATTGTAAAAGGAAATTAAACTTTTTCTATTAAGTAAATTAACAGGAAATTAATTAGAAAACTGTAAAAATAATGAAAATCATGCTTTTTAAATCAAATTGTAATGTTGCAAAGAGATGTTATTAATACACTCCACCCTCAAGAATATTAAGAACAAGTCATAATGGTAAATTTGATTAGTGGGTGAGGACCCAAATTGAAAAAAAAAACAGCAACAAGTCAATTATAAAGTCAATTTTTGTCATGTAAATGGGTATTATTTAAATAATTTACTCTTAATGCTCCAGATTGGTAAAATCTTTTGAAAACAACGGAGTGTATATACGTCATAATAGATCACATTTCATACACAAAAATTAAACTGTGTTCTCTGCAGAGGACTGCAATAGAACCTACCCCTTTAGGTATCAAGTATCCGCCAACAATCAAGTCTTTTTGGGTCACTCTTCCATTTCCTGGCAATACTGGATATAACCTAGAGGCAAATACTTATGAGAAGTTCAACAGTAATAACTGATACAACTTAAAAAGTTAGGCTTACAATTTGAATTCACAAATATGCAAGATGAATGCAATATGCATTGACAGCAAAAAGGTTTTTCAAAAGTACAGAACACCTTGGAGATTCAAAGACCTTGTATCACCTATTAGAATATGATTAATACCTGAGAAAAGTTACTTAGTAGCAACTGAAGGTTGAGCTATTTGGTCTTTATATTTATTTGTTTTACACAAGTACAAACATGCAACCCGTTGGTCAAGCTGGAGACGTTTTAGCACTACTGGGAGCTGAAAAGCCTTGTTGATACCTTCTCTAAAATCCGCTTATGCCCCTCATCTCACTATGAATGTTTGGTATAAACATATAAAAAAAGCATGTCACATGCCTTCAATTTAAGTCAAGAAGCTTAAAATGATTGTAGTGGCACTGCAAAGTATCAGTGTGGGGGCGGAGGTTGTTACAGTCCATCATAATTAAAAGGCAAAAATTAAGTGTTCAGTTACCTACATTAACAGACATATCCTACATATGTGTTATTACTTCTAACATACTTAAAAACATTAAATGTTATATAATCTATCATATTTCTTTGCTTAGGCATCCTTGGACACAATACTGCTACAATAAATAAAAGCATAAGTAGCAAATAACAATAACAACAACTACATACAAACATTACCATGGACTCAAAATTCATTAAAACTACCCAGAATTACATTTTTTAATTAATGATTACCCCTTACCTCAAGGTTTCTTTCAGCACAGCTCTAATCAAAGGCAATTTTGGGACATCATGAGCAACAGGAACTTGATCTTTCCCCAACTTATTGACTATTTCCTCATAAACACGTTGCTGAACCTCAGGGTGCTTTGCCAACAAGTATGTTGCCCAGGACAAAGTAAAAGAAGTCTAAGGAAAAAAACCACAACCATCATCATCAAGTCCAACAAGATTAGATTAAAAATAATTTCAATCCAAGAAAAACAACTAGTTTTCAACTATGTGTTTTATATGTTTAATGTTATAAAATAGACTGGCAATGACTTACATCTGGACTCAATGGGATGCTGTCAGACTTCACCATCTCCTCTTTCATCCCTTTTCCATCAAAAAATCCCCCACATATTAAAACAATCTGTGCTGATATTTTCCCAGTGAAATATAAAAAGCAACAGAAAAACCAAATGCAAGCAACACTACATAAACAAAACTGAAACATAAACACCTAAACAGCAATAGATTAAATTAACTGTTAGTTTTCAATATGTGTTTCACCTTTCTTCTCATCAAAAATATTTCACAGGAAACAAGGTAAGAGAATACTACTCAGAAAATTACTAACCCCTTCTAAGAATATGGTAGCCTCCTCATAGCATCATAAATTCCACAGAATTTATATTATCACTGCTGAGATTATACTTCACCCTTTGGTAAGCAACACTACACCACAATTGGTACTTTCTACCTCTTGAAAATTCCCACTTGACTGACATTCATCATCCTATTGAAAGCTTCCTTGAGGGAGCTTGAAGAGGAGCTTATATATTTAAAGTGGCCCCAAAATGTTAAAATACACCCACCCATAATTAATGATTCTAATAATTATCAAGGCTCCAGAAAAGAGATACTGTGTGAAAAATCATTTGAGAATATGTTTTACAAAGGAAGAAGCAGAACACAATGCAGAAGACAGTTCAACTTTGAGCACAAGATGATTTAAAGGAACTCATTATTTAAGCCTCTTTCACCTCAGCTACAAAAACCACACTTCAATGCACATTTGCAACTTAGGACACACTCTGAGAGCATGAACTCACCCCATCTGTATCAACATGGAACTAAGTATTTCAACTCTAAGTTTTTGTGATCTAGTCTTTACCATTCATTTTAACCATAAGTCACTGTGTTTAAACTACCTGGATTTCAGGGACTATCCCATTTGAATACTAGACACACTCAGGACATTTTGCTTCTACTGTCAGCTGCACCCAAGATATTAAGGTCAAGCAAATGGCCAGTACAATAACTCTTTTCCTTACCTGTGTTTTTCTTAGTATCTTACAGCATTTAAGAGAGAAAAGTTGTAACCTCTGCCATAATTTTATTGAAATTATTTGTAAATGTATTTTTTTCAACTTGTATAATTAAAACAGAAAACCAGTTTCACTTTCTACACAGGAAACAGTTTTATTTTCAGCCTCTCATCCACTAGCACAACAAAGCTTAAGGTTATAAACAATTATGAGTTAAAAACCCAACTTCTGGAAATGTCTTATTTTGGGCTTACATTTAAGATGAATTTAGAATGCAAATTTATCATGACAGTGACCTTTTATGTCTTAGCTTCAAAGTGGGGTATAATGCTAGAAGTATCATTCTTGGAACATTTCTTTTTTAGTTCTTGTAATATTGAGTGGTTGTCCCTTGCTAAAATGCAACCCTGTTCTCTTCCTCTCAGAGCTCAGAGGAGCTGGCAATTGGGCCAGCTGTATACAGAACGTCTTTGATATAAACACTGTTCCTTCACAGGTTCCCAGCTCCTTCATAACCTCTTAAAAAGTAGTGCTCTTCCAGGGACAGACAAAATGCTTTGTAGCCAAAAACTGCCTTACAATTTCGTTGAAAGCTTTCATAATCCCCTAATAAACCTCTTTCATTTTCTATGATAAAACAAAATCTGAAGTGATAGCAGTAGGGGAAAAAAGATTCCCTCAATTTCTGTCTTGTACTTGGAAATGAGGAAATCAGAAGTACCATCCTCTCACAAAAAAAACTGCTGCCAGCTGAGAGAGCTGAGTCAAATGGAAAGAGAAACTCTTGTTGGCATGAACTTGAACATTGTCCTTTTAGTTTAATGAAAACTGTCACACACTAAAAATGTAAAATTAATGGTCTGAAAGATTAGAAAATGAATGGGATGAATAACTGTGCTTTACTTAAGAACCAAACATCAAAAAGCTTTCCAAACTCATAAGCCCTTGGGATATTTAACCAATGGAATAATCTCCAGCACATAAATAAGCTTCACATATGCTCTTTATTTTGGAATTCAAAAGTATTATTGTTGGGGTGGTTTTTTGGTTTTCTTTAAAAACCTTACAAAATTTCTTAAATAAAAAACCTGAATTCAATTATCCAAAGGGGATTTTTTTCTCTAAGGCTACTTTACTTTTTTACTTATTTTAGTATTTTCTACTGTAAGACTATTAAACATAGTTTTACAGAGCACTTTATCAAATTAATCTAGATTTCTTTTAAAAAATTGTTCAGTTACCATCATTTACAATAATAGTGTTCATTGATGTCCTAAATAACTCTATACATTGTATACACAATACGATAACTCATTTTTACCTTTTCTTATTCTTCTAGTTGTCATGCTGCAGGCAATACCAAGCTACACTGATCTCATATGATAGGAATGAGAGGAAGTGAAGATATATACATGACCTTAATGTTTCTTCAAATGTTCTAGATGACAAATCAGAAGAATAAGGAAAGATGGCCACTTGAAATGCTTCACTAGGTGTTAACATATGATATACATATCGAGCCCCATTACCACAGCTCTCTGCCTCAGACTGTATGTTGCCAGCACAAGCATGGGCAGAGTGACCTTATACCTTACCCACATTAGCTCTGGCCTAATATCCCCCTCCTAATGGACTTCAGCAGAAACCAGGTATCTAACCCGTAATGTGTGTCTCAATTGCTTTAACTAGCCATACCTGAAAATTCTTTACCAAATTCTACACTGAGTTTATTGATCAATTTTTTCACACTAACTTTCAGCAGCCTTTTCTGTTGTGGTCTACCTAAAGAAGCACAAATATCAATCTGATATTCAAACTAGTAAAAGGAAATATATGAAATTCAAGCTGAACGTAAAGACAATTACTATTTTATCTTTTTAATAAACCGTGGAACCAACTCCCAAATGATGGGTTCCTGTACATCACAGCTAGAACAGAGCACTGACTGCATTCCAGTAGAGAGATTACACAGTGCTGCAAGTATTTTCTGTCGCTTTAAAGATGTCATGACTTAAATGTGTCAGAAATTATGTCCTTATAAACAATGTAACCCCACTGAAGATAGCTGTGAATGGTACTGGGTTACAAAAACAACTATGCACAAGAGAAATTGTAAAAATCTTACTGTGTCCACTCCTGCCAGAAGCATTTCAGTCATATTGGCATAGATCTCTTCCAAAGTAAGCTCCTTACTCACTAGGAGGTATGTAAGTAGCCCACCATTCACTTCTTCTCCTTGGTCCAGCCGAGACTGAATATTCTTCAATTTGTTGTCAACATGGATTTGACCTTTGGGATTAATAAAAATGTTAATCCTCCATTTTTATTTTTCTGCTCCTTCCATTCAGTAATGAAATTTTCCCCTTACACTACACTAGAGAGCCAAAAAAAAAAAATTATATATTTGAATCTAATTTCTCAGGGAAAAGATAACAGAGTGGTGGTGGAGGATCTTGGGTACTCATGGTAAGGAAAGACTGAGCTGACAGGAACCTTAGTGGCTCACAGCATGAGAATGCTGAGCACAAAGAAAGGACACAAGAAACTATAGTTTCTGACAGGGAGTGAAGGAAGATCAAGGTCAAGTTTTCACGCCCACCTGGCTTGTTTCTGATGACTCTGCAAGCAGAGGTGAACTCTGCAGAGCATGCTGCAACTCAGCACACAGAGGCTGCTACAAGATGTTAGCAGCAACCAGAAGGTCAGAGACACATAACTGAATTACACTGAAGACAAAGATGAGGAGCATCGGGTAATAACAAAAAAAAATGAAAAACTGCAGTGGATGACATTTTGAGCAATTTCACACACATTCCCATTTATACTTTAGTGACTACAAACTGCATCTTCAGTGAAACATGGGCTTTAAAAAGAGGAAAACTCCTCAGAAAGTTAATGCCTCGCAGAATGAGCTTACAAAAAAAGTGAACTAGAATCAACATGTTCCTTTATGAAACCTCCACAAATATACATACCACATACAGTGATTTTTACCATTTAAATTCCTTTTTCACGAAGGGAGTGAACAAAGAAAAAGACAACAAGTTTCAAATGGAACAAATTCCTCAAGAACAGTTTTTCAGCTGCTGTTAGGATAAAGCTGAAGTCTACTGTTGTTTTTAACCCACAAAAGGGAAGAAGCGTACTTTATAATGGGAAATAATTTGAAAGTGGCAGTGTAAAAAAAATACACATTACACAGAAAACACACCTGTATCAGCATTAAATGGATTCCTTAATGCCTACTGTAGGTATAGATCAATACATATTAAAACTTAACTTTTAATGCACATAATATGCTTAATAAACTAAAGAATTTACCCTCAAGAAGACGTACACAGACTTACCTAGGCAAATAGTGCCAATAAATTAAAAAACACATGTAGCTTTCTAACATTAGAGGGTGAAAAAGGGTTCAGATTTTTTTAACACTCTGGAATATTAAAACAAAATATATATTACAAAGACAACTCCTTCTTCTTACTCACATGAAAGTTGATGTATAAAGTAGCCTGAAATGTTTTATATATATAAAAAAAAAAACAAAACTGTAGTACAGCAGTGTACTTCTGTGTCAACTTATATGCTTGTATGTGTATATATAAACTTCACAGAGAGTTTAATTAATTGCTAGAGTCTAATTTTTTAACTTTCTAGTCAGTTTTAGTGGTGATTATTTATCAGAGTGCCTGACTGAAAACTTGCTTCAACAAAAGTAGCTTCATTAAAATTTGAGTGGCTTGAAATAAAGCCTTGCTAAAGAACTTGAACCTGGAGTGAGGACTGGGTGATGAAACAAATGAAGGCAAATAAAGAAACAGCAGTATAAAATAAGGGAATATTTAAAGGGTACTGGTAAAATTATTTTTCAATAGAGTATTTTTTCAGACAGTTCCCTGCATTTAATATGAAACTTCCTTCTGCCACAATGTCTTCTTATAATTTTAGAAGAGAAATGCAGTAAGTCCTGTTCAAACACACACAGAACCTGCAGAAACACAGCTGAACTTTTCTACTACTAAATCTTACTAAATTTGAAGAGTCCATCCCAGGATCTGCAGAACTCTCTCCAGGGTTTTGGAATAAGTGGTCGAAGCCATTTGGGAATAGCACCTGCATACATAGTAGTCTTAAACATACTAAACATCAATTCCAGAGCCTCAATATATTCAACAGTCTGTTGTGGGACGTTGTTTTCCAGGCAGCCCAACCGGCATTCATACAGAATAGTTGCCACACCTGCACATATGAAATCAAAGAATTTGCTATACACATGAATATATACATATTAATAATTTAAGGAATTAAAATGCTAACATAATGGAACTACCTTCCAAAAATGGTTAGTAATTATTACTGAAGTTGGGAGCAGATAAAATAGAAATTTAAAACACCGTAGAAAATCCCAGCTAAACATTGTAGAGAGACAGTGATTACAATGTCAATAATACCCAGCATGAGAAGACAGCCAGGAATTCCACCAGAAGCAGAGCAGCCCTCCAGCATGTTTGTTGTGTTTTGCATTGCACCACAAATCCTGAGCCTGCTGGGTTGGCCTCTGAGTTCACAGGGACATACAAGTCCAAAGACATTTCTGATAGCTGGTGATAATGCAGGAGTTTCTAGCAGTGGCTATGCCTTTCTTCTTCATAAGCTGGTAGTAAATGAATAATGAGCATGCATAAATGGATAAAAAGCTTGCACTCTAGGCAGTGATTTTACTGCACAAAGTATACTCCACGTGACCCTGAAAAATAGTGACACTGCTGCAAGTGACAATATCAACTCACCTCTTGCTCCTGACTTGCTATTATTTCCTCATATGTTTTTCCGCAGTATTGCAGTGATCCCTACTAGAAACACCACTTCCATCCACCAAAGAACAGTACTTTATATATATTTTTATTAAATTATTACTATTATTATATCAACTCTGAACCATGTCTTGCATTTATTAAGTTAATTCTCTCCCCTTCATTAGTGTCCCTGCAATCTCTCCAATCAGTTTTATAAACATACACAAATTATTAAATACTAGACAGAACTCAGCCAGAAACTACCCTACTGGAGTTAGCCAAAATGTTCTCTCAGTTTGACAGCAAACCATTTTTTAATTACTTCCTCAACACAGATTTCTAGCAATTTTTCCTCCCAACCTGCAAAATCTAGATCATATTAGCCAGTTTATTTATGAAAATATCACATGGTACAGTATAAAAGCATTCCTATTATCAAAATAACCTTACTTAATGATTTTTCTAAAATCCAGAATGGCAGCTAGGTAATTTAAAAAGGCATTCAGACAATTTCTCAAGGCCATTTGCATCAAACCAAATAACTTGAAAGCACAAAGTTTATTTTAAAACAATTAGTTAATAGTTTGTCCACATCTTTCCAGGAAATATTAAAATAACTGTGAACTAGATAATTAGATTAACTGCTCTATTAACACCCTAGTCTATTTTTTTCTCTGTTTTTCCTATTAAAAACAGGTACGATAGATAATGATGTTTAACCTTGATCTTGCCCTCCATCAAATTCTCTATAAATTCTCAAGTGTGTATATATACACACACACATACAAACACACTCACACACACACATACACACAAATTTTAAGAAACCTTTTTTTTTCTTTGTTTTGCATTTCTTCTTTATTAACAAACATAATTTTTAAATCTGGTTATTTTCATCTTACTCTTCCTTCTCTAATTTTCCTCCAATGGAAGATATTTTTCTGTGCCTTTTATGTCTTTGTGCCTCTTTCAGAAACTTTTAATTCTTATGCATGCTTTTCCTCTTTACATAGTTCTTTAAAAAAAGTCTTACACATTGGTTCCCTGAACATTTGACAGTGTAAGTTAATTAAAACTGCAATTCATATAGGAAATAAGTACATACCAGGCACAAGTTATAAATGAAAAGCTAAAAGAATGTGAAGAATTTAAACTAACCTATCAGTTAAAGTGAATCTGTAAGTTCAGAGTTTAAAATTCCATAAAATTGGTAACACTTAGTTAATGCCACTTTTAGATGTTAATAATGTCGAACAGACTCAGATTAGTTTACCAAACAGGCATCCAGCAATTAGATACAGCATCTTCACAGGTGAGCAATTTAGAAGTTCGTGCAAATCTCAAATTATTCAGCTGCCTGTCAGCAAAGAGTACCAATGTTTGTAAAAGGCACTACATATAACAACACCAGGTTGTATGCAGTCAGTTACAGGAATGCATGAATAGGAATCACCATTAGATTTCTGTAAGAACACAGGAAATGCCATACTAGCTCAGACTGGAGTTCCATTCAGCATTCTCTCATTGATGGTAGCCAGTGGCAGATGATTTTAAGGCAAGCATAACCATCCCACACTCAGAATGTGCAGGCAGGGGAAAGCAGCATCTTTTTCCCATATTAAGCTATGAACAGAATTTAGATACATCACACAGTGATTCCCCACCTGGAATTTGGCCAGTATGTTGTTAAATTAGTATGTCTCATAAGACACACTGTTAGAAGGTCAGCACCCTTATTCTTGAGAAATTAATACAGAAATACAGAGTACTGAAAGTGCTCTGGGCCTCGATTGTACATTTTGCCTATATACCGGCATTTCCACAGGAATTGGCCCTTAATACAAGGTATCATCAGTTTGGACTCTACAAAGGAATTCTGCTGATATCTGCTGCACTAAGTAGGAAGACACCTGAGTGCAGAATATCAAGCTTCCCTTTTCAGACTAATCACAGTGTGGTACTAGTCATTTGACACAATGTCTAACCATAAGCACACTGCTTTACATCCACTTTCTTTACAGATGTTACACAGCCTGGGCTTACCTTCCATTGAATACTTGAAGAAAACGTTGTTAACATTGGTCACTGTTTCCCCATCGTCCTCTTGACTTCTGAGGGTGTGGATTCTTTTAATTAAGTCTGTGATAACTTCACTGACTCCTTCAGAGTAAACAGCCACATCTTTGGGTTTCAGAATTTTTTGCCTCAGTACACTTCTCATTTTTAGCCACTGTTCCCCCTCCCTAGAAAAAAATATTAATAATGTCTATACACAATTTTCCATAACAACCATCAGCTGGGTAAGAGCTCCGCAATGAAACTGTTTATGATTTTTCATGTAAAATGAAAGCAAGTAGTGAAATTAAAATGATGATAATGTATATTTGGTATTATGCTCAAACATTTTTATTCTGTATTTGTTGCATGTCCTCATTAAGTTTCAGTGTTGCAGCATGTATGTATGTGTGTAAGTCAATCTCTGGTTTGAGTGACAGAATTTGACCACTCAGTGTTCTGAATTTGACAAGTGTCTCTCTCTTAGTATTTTAGTAGTAGCTAACACAAAAAAAATAGCAAAATTTTCTTATTAAAATTACTTTAAATAAATATTTGAATGGATACTCTGCAAAATTGCTTTTACCTAGAACTGGTGCTTAATTACCAAAGAAGGGTATGACATTCAGATCGGACAAATCAATCATTTAAGCTAGTACCATAAATTCCATTACTGATACATCAGTTTCAGTTACACTAACTCTAAACCTACAAAACAATAGGATAGCAGACCTAGCTATAAATAAACAATTTACAGCTAGGTTCTCCTTCAGCTGAGCTATGTATTGAAATCTTTGTGATGAAGACTAAAAATATGAATTGTAGCAGCCATATGCTTCATATGAGCAGAGTATTTGGGAACAGTCATTCCAGGGATACCTTTCAATCGTTATGAAGACAGCTAATTGTCTCTTATGCATTTATTTTAAATTTCTATGTATTTCCCATTAAATTTTTTCACCTGCAGTAATGCTGCTGCAAGGTACAGAACCTCGTTTGCCAGCAAAAAATTTAATCTCTTTAACAGACATTTTCTAATTATGTCCTGATTTGAGATCTCATTTCACAAAAACTCAAGGAACTGTTACTTTGACTCTGAACTGCAAATTAAGATTCGAGTCTGCAGAGCAATACATAATGCCTTTTGCCACCATGAAAGAAACAGACTGTCCTTGACTCAGGAAATTAGTTTCCCTCTAAATAAACATCCTATGTCAGTGGGGACTGTGAGCAGTTCCCAGTGGCAATTAACCACACCCACATGCACTGCCAGTTTATGCAAGCTTTAAAGACAGATGACTCTTCTAGAATCAGTCACGTACAAGAATATCTGCATGGGGGATGGCACTACAGTGTGAATTTACCATACAGTGACTTCTCTGCATTAATCTACTGAGGCGGCACTTGAGTGAACAACAAAGCTAAAGCCAACCTGAGCCAACAGGTCTGCACAGCACACGGCTGACAGATGCAACAGTCTGGATCTGAAGCGCCACGTTTGCGCAGCGCCAAAGTTAGTAAGCCCTGTTCTGTAATCCTGCTTCCAGGTAAGTGAGTCAGCTCAGACAACTCTAGTTGGTACACCCTCCCCAATAATTTTTTATGCAACATAGCTTACTCCACCATTCAAACTACTCATCATTACCATCCCTTTGAAAATTTACAGCAGAACAGAACAATTTGCCATAAATTCCTACCCTCTTCCCTCCACTAGACACACAAATTTTCCCACACAGAGAAGCTTGAATTCTCGGATGACCTGTACAGTCCTTCAGAAAATCATTAAACTTTGACAAGAAAACAAAGAAAATGAAGGAGTAATAACACTTACGCGGAAATAAGTCCCGTGGCTCTTCCTCGTAAGTCTCTGTATTCCTGCCAGGATTCCATGTTAGCTCTTTGTGGTGTTCTACCTTCTGCTCGGAGGACTTGAGCAACCATATCTCGATCTGCAATGGATACAACAAACTGGGGACCAAAGTGAGACTTGAAGATCTTTCCATATTCCTGAGTGTGTTTTTGCTACAATATCGCCAACAAAGAGAAACAGAAGTAAAGTATTACTGAGGAAAAATATTACAAAAGGAAGCTGACAATTTGTCATACAGTGAATCAATCTATCACATCTAGAACTTGATCCCCAGCCTTACAGTCAAAGAATGGTTTAAAATGTCAGGAGGAAGCATCTAAACATCACCGTGAAATATTCACAAGGAAAACAAAGAGGTCACACCGTTCAGGACCTCTGACTGAAAAGACCCAAAGCTCTAAGGCACAAAGCATGAGTGAAACCAAACACAACACTGAGAAGATGAAAGGACTTGGGGCACTTAAAAACACATCCCTTCAGATCAAACAGGTTAGAAAGAATGTCTGGAAAAATTAAAAACATGGAGGTAAATAGCGTAAAATTAACAGTATAATACAAAAACACAGTAATTTATTTTTAATATCTTTTATAAATAAAGACTTACTCTACCATTTTATTCTTTACAAAAAAACCCTACTTGTAAGCTTCTCACACCTAACCAAGGACAATGATAGCATAGCAGCCTAGTGAAAAACTGCATTTTGAGACAGCTTTGTCAGCAGGGAACTTTAGAAAGACATGTTAATTCTGCAAAAGGAAAGAATGTTGTTCCTTCCAAAAGTTGTATGATTCAAGATGGAGGCAAGCAACAGGCAATTAAGAAAGAGGATTGGAAAATGTTAAATTACATATTAAAAAAAAAAAAAAAACAAAACAATCAAACAAACAACCCCACAAAAGTTTTCCAGTAAGATTGCACTATCGCTGTCCCATGAAATCTTACTGATTATTTCAAACAAATTATATTCTGACATGGTCATGAAATGAAACACCCAACTCCCACAGACTTACTTGAAGTGGAGGTACATCGTCATTTGGGGGCTTGGGGAGGGGGGGAAGGGGAACAAAAAACAAAAAACCAAAACAAAACAAAAAAAAAATGCAACTGCAAAGGAGTTGTTAAAGAGATATTATTACGACTTTAGATTTAAGAAAGCTTTAAATTTTAAAGCCTTTATTTCAGGTTAAAGTAGCAAGACAAGTTAAACTGACCAAAGTTTAACTTTGTCACATTATCCTGCATCTAATCCAAAGACATCTGCTTGCAGAGTTATGTTGATTATAAATCAAAGATGTTTGATACAACTACACTAGTGAAAGTCTACTGTTGACACAAGATTAACTTATGAGAAACATTTTTCTAATTTGGTCTTGGTTACAGAGGTGAATTGTTTAATTGCCAACAAAAAGTTTAAGACACATGAAACACTCTTCAGCATACGGTACCAAGTGCTTATAAAAAAATGTAACTCTCTTTGCCTGGTTTCCAAATAAAACATAGTTTTGCAATTGTGGTCTCTGCCCGTCTCAACTACTTTTGGAACACAATGGCCAATTTCAGTCAAGTTTAACAGAGAGTTAAAGGTCTCCTACAACTATATTTTTAGCAAAAATCAGCATCTAGATTCAAATGAGACACACATACTAGTAACCTTGATGAGGGAAATGCTACAGTTGGAACTCAACTGTTATTGTTTCTGCTTGGTCTGCTGCTAATCAAAAACCACATGCAGACCAACATATGACCAAGCACTCCCAAAACCCAAAGTATCTCTTGCCTTAGAGATATTTTAGGGATATTAAAACTGAACCTGGAGACAATTGAGAGAATAAGTCTTTAAAGTAAAGCATGAGTTGGGAGGTAAGTGCTGCAAGGAAAAGGCAGAGGAATGGGGGGGAGGAGGGGGGGGCGGGTACAGGTCACCACTTACAGAAAAACAGGTTCAATAAATGTTGCTATTTATGGAACAGCTTGGTTGTTTCATCTGATGGCGAGGTTTACATGGGAGGATAAACTTCAACAGAAAATAAAACAAGTGTCAAGCCATCCAATCAAATAAATTAAATATTAGTTTTAAACCAGAAACAGACAAGGACAAGGTATTTGGACATCTCTTGCTTTCAACAGAATGATGTTCAGTGTATCATCTTTGTGTTTAAAGAAATGCCCGGAATTTCTCTTTCATATTTTCTATCACAACATAGGTCTTCCTTCCCTTGTTCCAAACCTTAAAAATATTATACTTTAATGCCTCACATACCACTCTCACACCAGACATTCTTTCACACATCATAAATTCAAGCTGCCAGCATCCAAACCCTCCCCCCTCACCTTTCTTTATACTTGCATTGCACTGATGAGACAAAAGAGACCTAACCCCATCAAATTAAAAATACTTTTCCTTTGTCATAATTGCTGCAGGCATTACTGCTTTGGCCAGGACTAACAGGAATCATGTTACTGAGAACAGAACCTCCTTTGTGAAAAAGTGCTCAGCTTCCCCACCCCTTCTGCATATAGCGTACAAATATTTGTGTGCGCCGAAGGACATCGTTTAAGTAGCTGTGCTGGTTACCAAAGGGTTTCAGATTAATTCATTCCTGATGTTCACTGTATTGTTAAATTTAACAGACTGTTATTAATCCAGTTAATGCCTATTTGTATCCAGCATGTATGCAAATATGGCATCCATGACTTGTAAAGTGATTTTTGAGACTCTAAACAGAATAAAAACTAGTATTATGTTACAACTCCTCCTTATCTATCCTCCCACTTTCCTTTCTATTAATAATATTCATTAAAGAAGAAAATATCCATATCAGCTAGTGGTAGTGAAAAGCATATACTATTTAGCTTGTCTTGTATTCCCTTAAATAATTTTAATAATTTTCACTGTTTTGACAGTGAAAGAACTTGAATTCAATAGTAGTATTTTTTTTAGTGCTACAAAACTATGGTGAGTGCCTCTCAAATTCTGTACACCACCACAGAGGTGAAAAAAAAAAAAAAAAAAAAAAAAGAAATATAACGCAACAAAAAGCTTTAGGTATCATGAAGTTTCATCTGCATGTGTCTTGGTTAGCAAGCAATTAAGTTGAACAATTCATCTTTAGCAACCTAGTTTGTCTGCCATCAAACACAGCATACACTGAGGAGACTAACCTTTCAGAAATTTAAATTTGTTTTGGTTTGGGTTGGGTTTTTTTGGTTTTCCTTTTTTGTTTGTTTGTTTTGGTTTTGTTTTTCCCCTGCTTCCTGCCTCTTTCTGGTGTTTTTAAGCCCTTTGTGAATCCTAACTTTCGAACTTTGGTCCTCAAACCATTGAAAGTTCTGTCCTGTTGTCTTTGGTTTCCCTTTTCTGTTTTTACTTCCCCTCTTTTTTTAAAAAAAAAAAAAAATTTCGGTGATTTTCAGGTGGTGAACCTCTTGGTTCTGTGCATCTCTTGCTAGGAATCTGCCAAGAGTCACTAAGAAAAGCAAAATAATAAATGCCACATCTGAGGTATTACCGAAGAGATCTGTACTGCCAGTGGAAAGCATTACTGATCCACAACTGCAAAATGGTGAAAACCACTGCTCTACCCCCTCAAACACAAGTGCTCAGTTCAAAATCACTTGGACTACACGGGGAAAGGGCCCCAGGAGATGCACTGTGACTTTTTAGGAATGAAATCCACATGTTTGGCAAGCAACCAAAACAATTCATCTCTGGGTAGAGACAGCCTTTCGGTAAGACAGTTGCCCATGCCAACATCCCAGACACAGAGCGGGGATACCCGTTGGCCCAGCTCCTGCTGTCCCGAGCAGGGACAACCGTGCTGCACCCACCTTCGCCGGGCGCGGCCGCGGAAGGGGACGCGCCGCGAGCTGTGGGGACCCCCACGGGCGTGGAGGTGCCCAAACCTCAGAGGACGCTTCCCCGCCTCCAGGTTCCTTTTGCCGTCCCCGGCCCCGTCGCGTCCCCCCGAGCTGCCGCACGCCAGGTGACAGCGGCCTCCCCTCCTCCCCTCCCTCACCCCGCCGCCATCGCGCCCCCGCTTCCCGCCTCCCCTCCCCTCCCCCGCGCCCGGCCGCACCGCCCGCCCGCGAGCCAATGGGGCGGCCCAGGGGAGGGGGCGGCCGAGCCCCGGGCGGGCCGCGGCAGCAGCCGCCGCCGCTCCCCCCCGCCCCGTCCCCCCCCCCACCCCGGGAAGGTTTCGAACCGCCCGCCTCCCGCTGAGGGGAGTGGGGCGGCAGCCGTGGGCCGGCCAGCGCTGACGGCAGCAGGGCCAGGCGCATCTACCGCCCCCTCAGGGGACCTGTATATGCGAAGTGTATTTATGTAAGGGGAGGCCAGGGTAGGAGCGAGGGTCGGAGAGACAAAATGGTCTCTGGGCGCAGCAGAGGAGCGCCGGGCTCAGCCGAAGGGAGGGCAGCGGCGGGAGCCCGGCCGCAGCGCGGCTGAGGCGGTCCCGCGTGGAGACGCTGCGGTCCGGGAGCCGAGGGAAGCCCACGCTTCCCAGCGCCGCCCGCCAAAAACTCTCTGCGAGTCTGTGAAACGACCCGGTTCAAAAAAGACGGGGTTTATGTATATACATATATTTTAGCCTGAGCACCCACCTAAAAGTTCAAAACACGCATAAAGATGAAAGGGGGGGCCCAAAGGTGCCGGCCAGGCAGCCACCCCACGCATGAGGGAAAGGGGGTTACGCGGGAGCGCGGGTGTCGGCACGGCTCGCCAGCCGCGTACCCGTAGGCTCCTCGCCGAAACAAAACTGCTAAAAGCTCCCGGAGCCGCGGGGGGACGGAGAGAGCGAGTGAGGGGATCCTCCGAGCCCCGGCCCACTCGGGACAGCGGGAACGCGGCGCGGCGGTGCCTGGCTGCGCTGCGGGTCACCCGGTGAGCAAGCGGTGTTTTGTGAGGGGAGGAAAGGAAAGGCTCGAGTAATCAAGTATTAAATAGACAAGGAGGCTCTACCTGGATTTCATGAATGCGGCCGAAGCCGTCCTTCCAGAAGAACTCGTAGAGATTGTAGAGGGTGTTGGGTCCCGGCATTTCTTGCAGGCTCTTCACCCTGCTAAGCTGGTGCGGGGTGGGCTCCAGCAGCTCCCCTGCGCGCCCCGAGCCTGCCACCATCTCCTCGCCTTTGTTCTCTGCCGCCGCTGGAGAGTTATTCTGCACCTCCAGGGACTGGCTGCTGGAAAGTTTGGGCAGTTGGTGAAACCTGCTGGCAAAAATCGCGTGGTAGAAGTAAGTTGTCTCAGATTCAAGCGCCTGCCTGCGCTTCATCGTCAAAACTCTCGTGAAGAAAGACATGTCTCAATTGCAGAAAGGTCCACTTTGCTCCCGCAGCTGCTTTTTATTTCGTTGCTCTTTCTTCACTGCCTGCTTTAACTTGTACAAGCAGCACTTCTCCAAACTCTTACTGCATGAGCATCAGTTTACACAGACCATTATTTAACGCTCCCTCCCCTAGGGCTGGAAAAGGGGGGTGGGCCTGGGATGAGACTTGAATAGAACGAACCTATTATTTTGTATAATTCAAATCAGATAAATTTACCCATTAAGTATGCAGCCAAAGTTTAGGTTTTCCCTCTTTCCCCCACTGGTTTGGCAAAAAGCTCACGTGGATTATCCCATCTTTCTCCTTCATTAAAAAGGTGGATTTAGGGCTACTTTTTCTGTGGCATTAATTCATTCCCATATGTTAGAAAATACTGTATTTTCTGTGAGAAGTTCTCTTAGTATCAATCATCATCCTGTAGCATAAATGGAAAACATGTCTGCATCCACATACAAATAACAGTGGTTTTACACAGTAACCTTACAAACAATTCCTGTAAATTACAATATCCAGGGATGTTATTTGTATTACAGAATGATTTATCTTTTGGACAGGACACACTCCAGCTTGTGTCAACTTCTGTAGAAAATAACCAGTGCCCTGTAACTGCCTAGTGTTCCACCACAGTTTTTCCTCAATTTAGCTGCATAGATCTATAATCACACACAGAGAAATTGAGCTCCAACCTGTATATCAGTTAGCTTCACTCAGTTTCAAAAGTGTTTGTGCTGTCTTCATATATATTTCTGTATAATTCCAAATGTGTTAATGATAATCTGTAAAATGTTGATTAGTTTCAGAATTTATGTGGACGAGACTACCTTGATTTTAACTGAATCAGAAGCTCAGGTAAAACTTGAGGACATAGGAAAATCTCAAGGAAAATCCATGTTTCCAGAACTTAGTTATGAACAAACTGCTGGAAAAGTAAGTCTAGTGAGCTTTGAAGTTATTCGCTTTGTTTCCCCTCTGTTTATTGTTCTATATTTTTATTTTTGAGGCCACAATCCAATTAAGATTTGTGTATATGCTTAATTTTACCAGTGATAACTCCACTGAAATAAATCTGTCTCTGAAGTTAGACATGTACACCAGTCTGTAGATACAGCAGTATTACAGGAATAAAAGGCAGATGGTAAACAGTCTTAAAATCTATAAAGTACATATTGGTTTAAGCTAAAATAATGCCTTTAAAATGGGCTTCATCATACTTAAAAAGGTCCAAAGAACAGCAACCAAAAAAATCATAAGGTTTTGTTGTTTTGTTTTGTTTTGTTTTTTTTTTTTAAAAAAAAAAAAAAAAAAAAAAAGACATAAGGAGGAGGTTGAGAGAATTATTTCATCTGGGAAAGATGACTACCAGGAGCATGACTACAGCCTACAGATGCATACATCTTTTGTTTAAAAAAGATACATGTCAGATAGGAAAGACAGAAAATAATGGGCTTAGATTGCAGCTACAGATTTCTTGGTTAGATTTTCAGGTAAACCTTACAATCTCAGGTATTTCTGGGATATCTCAGATAGCCAAGGTGTCTCAGGAGGTTATGTAATTGCTATCACCAAACTTTGTAAGAACACGACTGAGAAACATCTGTCAGGCACATCTGGGTATATCACAGTCTCGGTTACCTCTGGAGTTTCTCTTCCCACATTTCTACATGGTGTAGCTACATTATTTCTTTAATATTTATCTAAATATGTTTTGAGACACACAGTTACTCATAAAATCAATACTTATGGGGAAAAAATATTAAAACCAGCTGGTGAGTGTGAAATTCAGAACAAGTTTATCATCACAAGTAAATGTAAGGCTAATTCCATGTTTCCCTTAGAGACAGTGGAGGACAAGAAAAAGGAGTATCTCACAGAGCAAGTAGATATACTATGAGAAGTCTGCAGGAGAATTTAAAAACAGGCCCTTTATTTATTTGACAGAAAAGATGGACACAAGTCCTAGAACATCCAAAGAACAATCCAAACTATCTAAATTACATTTACCATACTCTACGAACAATAACCACAAAAACGTAAATGTACTGAACAACAGATATCCCTAGATTGTAAATCAACAAATAGAATGGAAAGAATAGGAATTTTGTAATGAACACCAACATAACTCCTTAGCTATACGTATTAAAGATTATATCAGAATTAAACCCAATAAATTCTTAATCTCGGTACTAATACTTTGAGGGGTTTTATTTTTTATTTTTTCAAATTTATGCAGTAGTTCTCCAGCTTTAAAAATTATTTTCATATTCTAATTTCTAGATTGATGGAGGGAATATATGCACCCTTCCGGAAAACTGCTGCTCACAGATATCAGATACATTATGCTGTAAAGGCTACAGTTTTGCCACTGGCAGTAGCTTTCTCTAGCTGTACATTTTTGCAGTTAATTCCATATTTGGATAGTCGCTCTTTTCCCACCATTACCTCTTTTCCATGAAAATCATTGTAGGAGAGTGTTTCTAGCCAAGCTACTTGAAAAAGACTTTCAGAAGTTTTGCTCTGTAAGTACTTCACCAGAACAGTACCTGTTTTCCCTCTGAGGAATTTCTGGAGGTGGCAGTAGTCCCAGCATAGAAACTGTGTTGTATAACTCCACTTGCACTCAGTTTTCTAGGCAGTTTGCTTATTATTAGATTTTTGTTGGTTTGCACTAAAATGGTCTGAAACACAGATCCCATTTCAAATAAACAGGTAAACACTCAGAGAATATGCAATTTCAGCCAAGCAGGGAGCTGAAGGCAGCACTAAGCATCCATATGCCATTCACTTCAGGAGACACTAAGCCACAGAACTCGGGTGCGATGCACAACACAGCAATACAGGACAGTGAGTGCTGTGTTACGATTTTAATATTATAAAGCAGAGCTGTCTTGTCTTTAATTACAGCCAAGGCAGCTATGCTCTTTCGCATCTGTAGTGTCTCTGGACAATTATTCATTACATAATTTCTACCTTGCCAAGATGTTCTTAAATAGTTAACCTTGCTCACTAATGTATCCTCCAATGTAACGGCTACCTACATACAATTTATATATTCTCTATTTACTAGCCCACCTGGTGTGGCATGTAAAACAGCTGCAGACATTCAGACCTCATTATTGGCAGTCCTCAGCAAATATTTAACTAGTCAAAAATTCTGTGATTAGCAGCTATCAAGTTTATATGTGCAGCTTTTACCACCACAGTAAAGCAAATTTCAGGAAAAAAAATTCTAGCTATGCATTGTGCTAAGTCTCCTCAGGAATTTGATGCTCTCTGCTGTCTGGATAGACTTTGGTTTTGTTGTTGTTTTTTAAGACAGTGTTCAACAATGGAAAGTCTAAGACAATTTCTCCCATTATTCATATGCAAATATTTATTAATATTAAAAAAAACCCCAACCAACCAACCAAACATCAAGGAAAAGAAACAAAACCCAAACCAAACCAAAACCAAACAACACGAAATTACAGGAAAACCTTAAAGTATATAATTAACTTTGCATAAGATTTTATACTTACTGTCTGTCTGGTTTTAAAGAAATGGTAGAATGTGTGTGCCATTTGAGAATAATGCTAACCAGGGAGCACCTGTGAGACACCTCCATTACTACCTACTATCTTGTATTTTTATTAGAAAGTGCTATCAATGTTTACAAACAAAACCGAAACCACCCCATCCTGAAGAATTTCTAGAGTAGGTTAGAGACAACAGTTGAGTATAACAGAAATAACTAAAAGAAGAAAGCACAAAGTAGCAATGCATTAATGATGAAAATTGCCAAATTTCTTGGATGTAAGAAAAGAAGGATTTAAAGGTGATGAAGGATGACTTTCTGCAAATCTGTATAAAGAACACCTTCCTCGTACGAAAGGCAGTATGAGTGGATTGACATCCACAGAAACGTAATTTTTACATAGTGCAGGTGGTAAAACAGTAGTAGACCTGAGGGCCAGTGGGCCTAAAAGGCTGACATATTGTAGTTCAAGATAAGTGAATAACAGATGACAGAGGGGTCACAAAATAGGTTATCAAATAACCCTGTTTTAACATTCAAAAATATTTATAAATAATAGATATTTCTAGGAGGTTTATTAGATGGGGTAGAACTGCAGAGCCACTAACAGATGCAGGCTCAGGTACACTAACACAACACTATTATACAGTAATTATCAATAACACTATAGTAATCCATCAGTGCAGATACATGCTTGTTTTTCTAGGTGAATTATAGAAAAAGAATATTGCAGACAGTAGCCAGATTGTATGGTGGTTAAATAGCCAAATACAGGAAGGGAATATCTATGAATGCGAATGAACACGTGTGGGCTACCACATGGAATGTGTAATTAAACTATTTGCTTCTCTTTGCTGTGTTAGATCATAATTGCGTGGTTTTGTTTGACTTTCAAATTAGAGCTATTAATGTATGTATATGCCACTAAGATTGCTGCTTTACTGAGAAACTTTGCATCCTTACTACTGCAAAATCTGTGTTGGAGGTCAAACTTGCAAACTGCAGCACATTAAATAATCAACATTACAAGTAAAACACAAAATTTATGCTACGAGGGATAGATGAAGCTGAAATAACAGTTTCCTAGAGTAGACTTGGAAAAGAGAAAGGAAGAGTGAAGGGAAGAAACCAACAAACATTTGAAAGAGCAGCAGAGGGTTTTACACAGCAAGAGGTTTAGGGTGTAACCTAAATTGGTGGAGGGATCAGTATTGCCTGATCCCATTTTCCTCCCAAATATGATCACAGACTTGTTTCAGGTAACAGAAGTCCAGCACTAATGCCACAGAATTCCCAGGAATAATGGTGAGTGTAGTAGCCATGATATAAAACTTCCTTCCAATCCGTGTAAAACCACCAAACCGTAAAGAAAGGAGAAATTCTGCCATCAGCACTAGCCAACCAAAACACATTTATGTGACTTGGAAGATAAATATTTCCTCCTATTTCTACAATCTTCCAAAGTGTATATTTATCAGACATCTTAACATCGACTTGAAAACACACTCA